GCCTCTCCGTTCTTGGATCATCTGTAGGTACACAGGTCGCAGTGCAGGGTGCATCTTCCCGGCTTCAGCCCCTGCTTCAGCCATGATAGGATCAAGAAGTCGTCTCACTACTCCAGTATTGGTTCCCACGATAATAGCGTATTGGTTAGAACTTGGTGGTCGAGGACCTACAATGGCCAAGGTGTCAAACGCTCCTGCTTGTCCAGCTACAGTGGGACTAAATTCCAGCTTGACTTGGAGATATACCCGGTGTATATAAGTTTTGTATCTCCAACACCCCAGACTTCAAGGCCTTTTAATCTGGTGAGTGGGGGGTGTTTCAGATGCTTTTCATAGAAATCTTGGTAAATCAGGGTGACTTGAGCACCAGAGTCTAGTAGCGATTTGGTGAAGATCCCCTCTACTTGGACTGGGACAACAGGGGCAGGGCCAACTAGCTCTTCGGGGAAACCATCTTTCGGCTCTGTTAGTGGAATGGCATGAGAGTTTTGTACCTTTACTCTTCTTGACCGTGATTTCTGGATCTTTGTTTTACGGGGAAGTGTATAGTGTGCCTTGCGTTCCTGGGATGGAGGTTTAGACACACAGAGAGAGGATTTGGTATTCGGGGTAGGTGGAGCCTTAACCATGGAACTTTGCCTCTCCAGTTTCTGTGCTGCGTTCTCAACGTTGGAGCGGGTTAGGTTGAGCGGGAGCCCAATTTGCTCCCTCACTGGGGCCCGTTGCAGTTTCCCCCTTTCTTGGAATATGGCACCTTCTGGGACCCCTCAGTGGTCCTCGGGACCAAGCTTGATGGACGTCCCTTTTCTGGGCAGTAGGCTTGAAAATGACCCAATTTCCCACATCGATAACACTCTCTTCCAGTCACACTAGGAATTCTCCTGTTGCGGGAGCCCAATTTGCTCCCTCACTGGGGCCCGTTGCAGTTTCCCCCTTTCTTGGAATATGGCACCTTCTGGGACCCCTCAGTGGTCCTCGGGACCAAGCTTGATGGACGTCCCTTTTCTGGGCAGTAGGCTTGAAAATGACCCAATTTCCCACATCGATAACACTCTCTTCCAGTCACACTAGGAATTCTCCTGTTGGGCATGAAGTTGGTCACCAGAGGTGGAGCGTTGGCTCTATGGTCTGGCCCATAAGCTTGTGCTTCAGCCATTCTTGCTACAGCCTGACATAAGGTGGCTTGAGTCTCCTGCAGCTCCTTTATGGTTTGATATAGCTCGCGTTGAGTTTGAGCTAACTGAGCGAGGTCTTGTTTGACCCCCATACCAACGGAGTGGTGAGCAGCATTCTGTCTCTTCACGCTCACTTCTAACTCACTGGTATTTCCAGCTTCTTCCTCATCTGAAAGGTAACTATAAACTGGCACAGGGCAAAATGCACTTTATCTCTTTTGGAAGTGGAGCCTTTAGAACCTAAGGACTTTGCGTTCTTTTCCTCTATGAGGGCCTCCTCCGCCCGAATTTCTCTCAATAGTCCTGGATAGGTAGGGATATGACTAGGACCTTTCAGAAGGATCTTGAGGACAATGGGATGATTAGGTCGAGCACCCTGCAGGATTTGATCTAATCGAGTCTTGTCAACTGCCAGAGGATCTACACCTTTCTTCTGCACGACTTGTCGTAGCACCTTATCTACTCGAGCCACATAACTTCTGGTAAGTGTGCTCCAGCTTGTATATTAGATCAGAGAGTTTCTCCACCCTTTCAAAAGCAGCACGTAAGGCATCCATGTAGTCTGCGGCAGTGCAGTCCTGCTTGCCTAACCTTAAGTTGCAGATTATCTCTGCAGCAGGTCCCCTCAGGCTTTCAACTATTCTCTGTTTCTTTTGCACTTCAGGAACATCCCACTCCTCCAATGCCTGAGAAGCTTGCTCCACCCAAGTCTCAAAGTCTTCTTCCCCTGACAGGACGGGTACCTTCCCTGAATAGAACCGTAGTTTACGATATCCATAATGAGGGAACTGTGTTGTATTTCTCGCAGAGTTTTCAGCCAGTTTCCTTATGTCCATGAAGAAAGAGGCTGGTAAGCCTTTTGAGACTGACACAGAGGAGTCATTCACTTCCATTACATCAGACATGGTCTCACTGGACTCTTCTGAAGGGCTGGCTGACACCTTAAGGGGGAGTATCTGTACACAGGTTTCCGGAGTAAGTAGAGCGTTGTCTCCCTGGAAACAATCAGGAATTCCCTTCTTCCATTCTAACAATGCATAGGTATGAGAGTTTTCTGAGTCCCTCTTCATATCTATCACAAACACCTTCTGCTCAGGTGCTAACAAGGTCACTGCTTGCCGACCCTGATCCTCGGTCCAACTGCCATCAGGGATGTCTATGACTATGCTCATCCCGAATTGGCCATTCTGTTCTTGACACCACTTGGTGACTGCGTCTTGATCCATGTTACCAATTTGTCCCGTTGGCGCGGTCATTCTCTGGTGAGGGGGTTCAGAAAACTATCCCGGACAAGCCCCCAAATGTAGCGCTCACCCCCGAAGGAGCCGCTGAATTACCGGATATTTCTATCCCCCCTGCACCAATGTACCGCCCAAAGCGTTGATCCGAAGCACACCAACACACCTTCAATTGATCTTATAGCAGATTTACTGACAAATCAGATATGAATAACTATGATACAATAGTAATGACAACAATCACCAACAATAATGTGTAGCAACAGGCTGAGGCACTCTGCAACTCAGTAACTGCAGCTATATGCTGTCAGCACTGATGTATGTGAGGCCAACTGTCTTTAAATGTCCACCCTGTAATGGGGTGTTTGCCCCTTTAAGGTTTCCCTTTAGCAATGCCCAACCCTTACTAGACTACTGGCCAGTAGTGGTGTCCTAAGCTAGCCGGCGTTGGGGCCCTTACTGTAGTGCAGATATGAACAGCAAACAGGTTCTCAATGTGGCCAGAGGCCTCTCACCAATCCTCAGGTCAGTGGTAAACAGATGAAACTGATAGCAGATGCTGGACGTCCTCTATCCCTCTGCAGCTCAGGCTCAGTAGGGGAAGTCGTCTGGGTCCTTGATAGGAAGTCTTCACTCATTCAGGATGCTTGTAGTCATCTCGGTTAGCTCCGTCTGTCTTCTCTCTCAGCTGGGCGGCTGGATCACTCCGGCGGCTGGTTCGGCCGTGCAACTAGGCCTTGACGTCCTTTGCGGTCACCGCGTCACCGGACCTCCCTTCAGGCACTCGATCGGGTCCTCTCCGATTTAGCGACCCAGGTCAGTCTCTCTGTACAGCGCTGCACAGAGCCTGTGTGTCCCTGTATATCAGCGGTAACCACACAGCTCTGTCTCTCACAGTCTTAGCCCACACAGGGCTGCACAGGTCTGTCCTCTTCAGATGGCTGTCCCAGACTGAGCGCGCACCACAGCAGCCACCACCCTTAAGTCTCCTCCTCTCTCCTGCACAGCCTCCTGGGAGCTGTAGTTTCAGAGATGACTCCTGCAAATGTCCCAGTCTCTGCTCTGCACTCCAACTCCCATAAATCTCCGCCTCCAGGGCACACAGAGGCCATTAACTATTCACAGTCAGGGACATGAATCACTGTAATCGCACGTATATACATGAACATATATA